CATGGTTTATATAAAATGGCATATGGTCAGTGGGCAGCAGTTGCATAAACATGATGCCAAATGCTTATTCACTTCACCTAGTTTGCTCATGTAGGACAGTTGTACATGTAATTTGCTCGGCCTCTGTCCAGCAGCAGCTGTGTGTGTAATATTATGCATTTCCTGACATTTGCAAAAATATAGGAAAAGTGAAACTTCCATTTTTAAAAAGGTTTAAATTAGCAAATTTGGCAGATACCTATTTAATTTCACATAACGCTAATAGTAACATAAGTGAAAAAAGTACACACATACTATTTTGATATATAAAAAGAGTTTTCACTCACCAGAGACTAAAAACAAAAATATGAAAAAATGAAAAATACTGTATACAAATGTAAAGATAGTAGATTAAAAAAACAACACAAAGCGAAACCAGAAATAAAAAACAAGAAAGAAATGAACAACAAAGCAATATGAAATGTACTTATCTACTACCCAAGATAAGGTGGTCAATTCCCCGAGAAAGAAAGAAAGAAAGAAAGAAAGAAAAAAAGAAAGAAAGGAAGAAAGGAAGAAAGAAAGAAATTTCTTTACTTTAAATTATCCCAAACCAAAACTCTTCCTACTCTCTGGATCAAAAATACAAGATAAAACAAAAATTGCTGGGGAAAATGTATTCAAAATATTTATCCAAGCCCATGACTTATGGAAGGGATTTTTTTTTTTTTTTTGAGCACGCAGGCAGATTCTTCTGTGGTTCTATAATTACAGAAAGGGACGTGTGTAATGAGGATCAATTCAGAAATGGTACAATTGCAGATATTGTAGCTAATTTAAAAAGACAGAAACCAGAAAGCAGAAGCTCTTTCAAGAAAGGGGCAAAGAGGAAAAATTAAGAGGAGCTAGCCCTGGGAAATGTCAGTAGGCCTTAGAAGTCAGGCGGGAGCTGTACAATCCTATTACCTCATCAAAACAAGCAAGTGCAAATATGAAAAAAGATAAGGAGAAGCTGAAAACCCTGGAATGCAGCAGGTGGCAATTATGTATATATTGGATTATTTTTGTTATCAGAAAAAGATGAAGAGACAACATTGAGCATTGCATTACTTAATGGGACAATTGCTCCTTCAAAAAACTGTTCATAAAATTAGAAACTAGGAAATTTTATATAGGACTCAAAAATAACCTTTGTATGCCCTGGCTCCAAAAGCCCAGCAGATTGAAAAACAATAAACATTTCACTGTAATGCCTACTGACCTACATTAAACATACTAAATTTAATTGGACAAGGAGGGGAGTGAAAATCCAGCTGAGGAAATCATTCGAAGGTGATCCTTTATGTACAGATTAAGACACAATGTTGTTATTCTTGGTGCAATGCAGCTACATACTTATCTGGCAGTCCACAAAGCAGCAGAGAGTTGATTATAAACAGCTTATTTCTATTCTAATTAAATGCTGTTTGAACTAATATGGATATATACCAAGCTTGATTATTTATAGTTGTTTCTGAAATTTAGTGGGAGTTAAAATAGAATTATCTCTGAAGCTGATCTTAATGAAAGTGTCTGGATCAGCTCTTAGGATTTTCTTTTCTTTTGGAAAGTATTGGCTTTAAAATATTGAATGCCTTTTCTTTGCTGTTTTACTCTTTGTGGTCCTTCCTGAGTTTTGTTGTTGTTTTCGATGCTGCTCCTAGATTGCAGTTTATTCTTTCTGATTTTATAAAGCCATCTGGATTTTTTTAAAAATAAGTAGTAGCTAAATAATTCTTTAAACATTGTGTTCTTATTTATACAAAAGTCAATTTCTAAGTGAGTTCTAGTCCTATATTGTCATAACAAGAAAGAAGCAGGATTGGCCATACCACTAGGCCAGGAGTTGGCTCTTTTATGAGTCATGGACTATGCTGGCTCAGGAATTCTGGGAGTTGAAGTCCACGAGTCATAAAAGAGCCAAGGTTGCCTACCCCTGCACTGGGCAGATCTGAACCAACTGTCTTGGATGGTATGGCTTTTGTGCTAGAGTGGCTAAAAAGAGAAGAGAGTTGCATGGGGCAGTGCTGTTGCCCTCAGAAGGGCACTATCACATAATTCATCTTGAAATAAGATACAACTATCAATCCAGTTGTGTATAAAAGGAAATAGTCTTCAGGGAAAACATTTGGGCTGATTCCAGAAACAACAATGCAAAGAAAAGTGGCCCATCACCTGTTATTCTCTACTATATCAGTAATTGGATTGATATGGATACAGCTATTTATTTAATTTACATATTTTTGTGCAGATAAAACAAAAGTTACTACCGCACAAATATTGGATTATTTAGCAAGATATGTATGTATTTAAATTGCTTCCTGGAAATTTAGAATTAGAGCTCAAACAACTGCTCCAATGTAGATGTCTATAGAGATTCTCAGTCATCCAGGTCATGGTTGTCCCAAAGGTGCTTTTCAAAAGGCACTTTGTTTTTTTTTCCTTGAAAATGTTTTACTTCTCATCCAATAAGCTTCTGGTGTCAGTGAAATCTAGATTTCAGTGCCTGGAAGTTGGCTGGAAGACTGAAAACTAATCACTACTCTCAGCTCACCAATTTGTTGTTAACTGAGAAAAATAGGAAGGAACTTTATGCATACCGCCTTGAGCTTTTGAGTGAAAAGTGGGATATAAATCAATCAAATTAATAAGTCCTGTCTCTTTGTCCCCAGCACTGAAAACCCTAAAATACACTGTTCATCTGTACTGCAGGTTCAATTGACAGCAATATCATTAGACAACACTGAGAACAACACTTTATTTTTTCTCTATTTATGAGGTTTATATATCGTTTTTTTCTCCAGCAGATGGCACTCAAAGTGGCTAATACGCATAATTTAAAATATGTTAAAACTTAATTTTAAATACATCAAAGGCTTAGTAAAAATGTATTTGAAATCTATATTAAAATAACTTCAGTCTTACAGCATTTCAGTTTTTAAACAGTGTAATGCTATGGCCCAATTTTATTTGGAAATTAAAGTTTGTTACTTAGTCCGTTCTAAGATTGATTGCTAGTGAACGTTGGCTGAAAATTAACTAAAGTTATGATAGTTTTCGCTGAAAGTCAGATTTTCATCTCAGTTTGATGCATTTGTGGTGTTGTTAATGTGGACTTTTAAACATAGATGTTGTCCTATAAGTATCTATGTAAGAGTCATTCTATAGAAAACATATTATCTTGTCAAAGACACAGTATTCTTGGTAGAAGACTAAGAGCCCCATATTTATATCAAGCATTACTCCTCTTATTTCTCTAAAGCAGAATTCTATGACAAAAACAATTCTTGGGGTTTTAGTTTTTTGCACTCCTTTCAGAGCCTCTGGTTGAAAAGCCGTATGATATAGTATTGGCTTGATTCTGGATTTTTTTTTTAATGTAAACTGAACTCCTGCAAAATCTCAAAAAGTTAGGATTGAATTTGCTGGAACCTAGATGGGAGACCACCAGAACATGCCATGATGCTAAATTAGCATGCTGCCTCAGAAATTATGGAGCTTAACTCTATCATCTTAAAGTGATTGAGATTGAGAAGTGATGGTGTAGGTTATTGCAGGTCCCATACCCAATATGCATGCATTTTCCTGCGGGCAATGAATGCTGAATGGTGCAAAGAAGAGCAGCAAAGATGATTAGGGGACTGGAAAACTAAACCGTATGATAAATGGTTGCAGGAACTGGGTATGTCTAGTCTACCAAAGTGAAGAGTTAGCAATGACATGTTAGCAGACTTCCAATATTTGAGAAGCTGTCCAAAGCACCTGAGGATACGACAAGAAGCAATGGGTGGAAGCTTGTTAAAGAGAAATCCAACTGGAAACTAAGGGAGAAATTTCTTGAAAGTGAGAACAATTTATCAGTGGAAGAGCTTGCCCTCTGGAGTTGTGGGTGCTCCATCAATGGAGGTTTTCAAGAAAAGATTGGACAACAATTTGTTCAGGATGAAATAAGGTCTCCTGCCCTGGGCAAGGATTTGGACTAGAAAACCTCTAAGGTCCCTTCCAGCCCTGTGATTTTATGACTCTATGACATCCATGTTTTCAGAATGTAATTCTCTACAAGCAGGAAGAAAAAATATTACTCAACATTTGACATAAAGGTGCCATCTAGTGGTCAAATTAAGTATAATGTTCTGCGTCATCCTGAAATGTTTTAAACAACTGACCTTGAGCAATGCACTTATTTTCAATCAATGTTATGAAATTCCATTACCACCAACACCATCCCTGCAGGTTCTCAGATCTGGATTCATTTCGTAGCCCCAGTTTCAGCATGTCTTTTATTGCCTGCTAAATATTATGTTACTACTACCATGTCAACCGTAATGAGAGCATCTGGGGCAGTGCATATTTTTGAGGCAGATATTTATTGACAGAATGTAATTCATCAACCAGAACTTTCTTTCTAGAAAAAGAGGTATTTCGATTTAGCCTGCTTGGTGGCAGGAAAATTAATAAGGTCAGTTGAGGAGCAAGAGGAGAGAGGGCGGTCTGAGTGATCCGTTTGATCGCCAAGATCAGATGCTGGGATTACGCAATGTCCAGCACCAGCAACGTTTCACAGTCCAGAAAAAGTACTAGAAGAGGAAACGGTCTCATTCAGTTAAGAGAAACGAGAAAGAGAAATATCTCTACAGATACTTAGTTGAAAAGATTAAGTTACTCTCATATATATATCTTTAGCCCTTTCGAACTTGCTTCCGAGCGGACGCACAATATGAAATGTGCAGGATGATGCATCATCTGATGTTTCAATTATCTGAAGAATGGAGTGGCGAAACTTTATATCACTTTGCTTTAAATCAACCAGTGGCAGAACGGTTCCATGATTAGACATGCCAGGGATCCTTCACAAGATTTTATGGGGGTCTCTTCGGCAAGTTTCCCCCTCTATTGCAGGCTCGTCCTGCACTCAACTGTTCGCCTCTGCGCCCTTTCGAGAAGCGGAACCTTGTTGCTTCCGGCCTCCGGATCCAGGGGACTGAAATTTCTGCTGGATCGTGGCACTGGTAAAGAGATGATCTCCCTGCGAGGCTAAAAAGTGAGCCATGGCCTGGATGCAAAGGCTGCGGAAAAGCAAATCGCTGCAATATGGACTCCCGATGATGGTGAGCGAAGGACAGCTAAATGGGGGGAGAGACTGGAAGGGGGGGTAGAAAATGGTTGCACGTTGCAGGTTAGCAGGCTATAGAGGACACGGTATTCTCGGAAGTCGCGGCGCAAGGGCTGCTCCTATGCATTCTTTGGGACGAACAAGTGAGAAATCCTATTGGCTAAAATCCTATTGAAGGATCATCTCCTTTAGGATCATCTTCTTTGCCGAGGCTCGCTCGTCGCTAGATGCCATTCCTGTCAGTCTGACAAAGAGAGTGGGCGTTTGCCAACTTGATGGGGAAATGTTAGAAAGTTCTTCACTCCGAATAGGGCACCATTATATGGATTGTGTCCTTTCCTCTCTATTCGTATGAATGGCCTATACCAGTAATAATTCAGCGTTTCTCAATCCACAGCCCTCCAGAGGGACTGGACCATACGTCCCATTATTCACTTGGCTATCTGGATGAAAATAATAAGTATTGGACAACACTTGGTTGAGGACAACAACTGTGTTGTTGTATGACTTGTACAAATTAACTGTTTATGTGCCATGAAGTCAGTGTTGATTCTTTGTAGTGACTATATATGTAGCTTTTCTCCATGATGAGTTGTCACTGACCTGGTCTTTCAGATCTGTTAGTGCATGCGTTACCACTACAATTGAGTCCTTGTTTGTCATCCTTCCACCTTTCCCGAGATAGCGAATTCTTCACATAATTGCCCCAAATATTGTAACTTTGGCTTAGTCATTTGTGCCTCAAGTGAGAACTCTGGGTTGATTTTTTTTTTAAAGATTCATTTGTTTGTCTGTTTGTTTTCTTGGGCTGTCACTCTCTCAACACAACATATCTCATGGGGTTTTATGAGGAAGATAGGAAAAAGTATGAGATATGTTGGCCGCTTTGAGTTATTTATAAAAATAATAAAGGTAGGATGTAAATAAGTACAGAATTATATAGAATGAAAAAAAATCAATCTTCTTTCAATCCTTCTTTAAAGTCCCAACTTTCACTTTTATAAAATGTCAGAGGGAAAATCTTTGCCTGCCCCATTCTGAAGTTTAATTATCCGATCTAAGCCTAAAACCCACAATGCACAATAACTTGTTCTGTGTGATGGATACAACTAGTATAGTCCCTATTCTCCTTTACAATTTCAAACAAGATTCAATTCCCTGATCTTAGAATTTTTTTCACATACCTCCTGGTACGTTTCCATTTGAATGCTGGTTTCTCATCCAGTTTACCAGAGAACTATCTACGGATATTTATAAGGAGATAAATATGTACTACAATGTCACAATGCAAATTTCACTCCTTGCATGTAAGATCACCACACGCATTTTGCCATCATCATGAAACTGCGTGTTGTTTTGAGAACTATTTAATATTTTAAGAATACTCTTTTTATTATAAAACTTAAGAAACAAATTGGCACAAAGATATCAGTTTAAAATAATATTTAGAATTTAATGAAGAAAACACGACAACTATGGAGAGATTTAATGGGATTTAATTTGGAGAATATGATTAGATTTTAAGGGACAAAAAGGAACAATGGGGAGACCCATCCAAAATGATTATGAGGCTTCTGGAGGGGAGAAAACTGAAGGAAACTGGGTAAAACTTTACCGCATACAAAATAAAACCAAATTGTAATTGTATCTACTCGCTGGATCTAGAAGTCTGAAGCTATTAGATTGCTCCTGAATTCTGGAAGAATTCACCCCACAACTTGGGGGTACAATTTATTTTTTCCCTCACAGCCAGTTGCTACTCTCTGAGGAAATTCAAAGGGACAAAAGTTATTGCATATATTTTTGTTAGTTACATCCTGCCTCCTTAAGTTGGTTTACATGGAATCACTTTTGACTGATCCTTAGGTGGACATATCTTTCTCCTCTTGTAAAAGCTTGCTCTCCTTTGGGGGGTTTTCATATTTCCTTGCCATTTCCTTTTTTATAATAAGCCTCACACTTGATTTAAAAGACAAAATAAACTATTCCTTTCCTTTTTTCAGCTCATGGTGCACTTGGCTCTCAAATACAGTAGGTGGTGCTCCAGTTTATAAAGTGTAGTAAGAGAAATACTACAGTCAATACAGTCAGGGTTGCAGCACTTGGTGACTCATCCTGTGTGACTTGCTTACTGCACTGGGATGGTAAGTTTTCTGACACTGCTATAATAAATTGCTAATCAAGATCAAATTATATAATTGGACAAATAAGCTTGTTTTAATGGTGTTTAAAAGAACCGGTTTAAGAAACAGATAGAAAAAAAAAAGAATCTGACCTGAATGCTAAATTGTTCCCCATGCCTATTCCTGGGCCTGAATTCTGTGTCCAATTTTATTGCTTCAACTATTGATTATAAGAAATAATGTTGGGCGGCAATAGGTAAACAAAGCTCAAAGCTCAAAAACCTTGCTGCTTTCTGTCCCCTCCAGAGCAGCATTGCCCTGCAATTACAGGTAATTCTCATTTAGCAACTGCCACATTCAGTGACCATTCACATTTGTGGCAGTGATTAAAAAGTAAGCTTCTGATTAGTTCTTGCATTTATGACCTTTGTAAGTCTGTAAAGCAAAGAAAAACTATAGTAAGGTCAGGCCTGTATAAGCAGATCCATACTTGAAAAGTTCAGTTAGCTGTTTATTGCAGGTGGGTAAGACTAGATAAGGTTTAGTAGCATTCAACGGGGGTCAGATTTTGCCCTTTCATGCCCACATATGGATTCCAGATTATTTCCCTGTTTGACTCCTCCCCTGGCTCATCACCTTATCGGCCAGTCTCGCCAACAAATCAGATCATAAACACAGTCACAGTTTCACTTATCAACTACTTCATTTAATGACCAAGTTGCTGATTCCAATTGTGGTTGCTTAACAAGGACCACCTCTAATGTAACCCCAATTGTTATGGAATTCAGAAAAACTAATCAAGACCTAGAAATTCAGGAAGCCTTTGGAAAGTAAAGTGCAGATTCCAGCCCTGCAGTGGTATTTGTTTTATCAAGAAAAGTGTTTTTCTGGAACATCATAATATTGACAATTAATGACATTTGTTAGATTAGTTTAATTTTTGTTGTGAAGATTATGTTTGAAGCAGTTTACAACCACAAACAATAAAGAAATATTCTTTAAGTTGAAGATCCCTGATTTGTTTATTCGTGTCAGAAACACCACAGTTAAAATAAAGCATACTATATGACATAACATTTAAAATATAAAATACAAGATTAAAAAAGGTACAAATTAAACAGATCTTGCCCAGATCCCCGATAAGGTGATGGGATAGTGAACCCAAGAAAACCATTGCTTTTTAGTGTTTGAAATGGTTCCTGGAAGAAGGCTTTATTTGATTCTCTTTCCCATTATGAGAACCTTAAAGTTCTCAGAGAGCTGCCTCACTTCTCCTTCCTTTCTCAGTAATATATCAGAATCAGAATAACAGAGTTGGAAGGGACCTTAGGTCATCTAACCCAACTCCTCACCCAAGCAGGAGGCAGACACCATTTCTGACAGATGGCAGTTCAGTCTCTTTGAAAGCTTCCAGTGATGAAACTCCCACAACATCTGAAGGCAAACTGTTCCACTGGTTGATTGTTCTCACTGTCAGAAAATTTCTCCTTATCTCTAGGTTGAATCTCTCCTTGATCAGCTTCCATCTGTTATGCCTTGTCTGGCCTTCAGGTGCTTTGGAAAACAGGCTGATCCCCTCCTCTCTGTGACAGCCCCTCAAATACTGGAACGCTGCTATCATGTCTTCCCTGGTCCTTCTCTTCACATAGTTTCAGGGATGATATAATAGGACATCAGAGAAAGTCTTTATTAGGGGCTCTGTAAAGTGGATTGGGGAGGGTATTTGAGAACTAATGGTTCCCTATTTCTGTTTGAAAGCAAATATCTTACATTTGTATACACAAATATCAATTTCAGGAAGCTCTTCTAATGTGTGCATTTCTTACCCTATGCAGAGTTTATTTTCTCCCTCAGTGAAATAAATGGGAGTCCTTTGTTTTTAAGGAACAAAATAACTGCTGAATATGGAGCATCCAAATGTAATTACAACATTGCTTAAACTTTTATTTATAGTATTGGTTGACTTTTTTTAGTCATTGCCTCTTGATAGGCTTGTAATAAAAGGGTGGATACAACAAAAAATGTAAAACTTTTCATATAGTCTTAGAGGAGTTGTTAAAGCTTGAGATTAAATCAGTTGCCACTATATCAAAATTAAGCACATTTTAAAGCAAGAAATAATGTTTATATTTTGATCATAGGATCCTATCCTAAAATGAAATAGGATTGCTTTAAGGAAGAAAGCAAGAAAAATAGAGACCAGTAAAGATCTACTTAACACAAACTTTGCATTGTGCAATGAAAGTGATGAATTCAGCATATTCTGTCACGATTCCACTGCTCTTAGTCAAAGAACTTTCACCATTAACCAGTGTTTTGCTTTGTGATTCTCATCACCTCCTATTATTATGTTCATGGGGTTTGTAATTAACTATCTTTGCTGTAGTAGTTCGTTTCAGTAACCAAGAGTTGGAGCATTTACTTCTGAGCAAATGCCTTGATGTTGTATTACTCTTTTGTTTCCAGCTGATATGTTTTAACAGAATAATAGAGTTGGAAGGGACCTTGGAGGTCTTCAAGACCAACCCCCTGCTCAGGCAGGAAACCCTATACCATTTCAGACAAATGGTTGTCCTATCTCTTTTTAAAAATCTCCAGTGCCAGAACATCTACAACTTCTGAAGGCACGCCATTCCACTGATTGATTGTTCTAAGTGTCAGGAAATTTTTCCTTAGTTCTAGGTTGCTTCTCTCCTTGATTAGTTTCCATCCATTGCTCCTTGTCCTGTGCAATCAAGTTGGTGTTCCTTAGACAGATTTTCTCTAGGAGGATTTGATCCCAGACTGGTCCTTCAGGTCTTCCAGTGGTGCACCCATGGTCATCTTTTTTCAGTCCATCTTCCCTCAATATATACAAATTAAATAAATAAGGGAAGTGTATACAGTCTCACTCCATTACCAACCCGGAACCAGTCTCTTTTGTCATGTTTCATCCATATAGTGGCTTCCTAACTTGTGTATATGTTTTGGATGCGGACAATGAGATGTTTTGGAATTTCCATATTTCCAGCACATTCCACAGCTTAATCAATGCAACTTAAGGCTTTTCTATAATCAGTGAAACACACATTGACTTGTTTTTGGTATCCTTTGGTTTTCTGAATTATTTATTGAGCATCAGTAGTATTGTGTTGTGCTCCTCTGCTATTTCTAAAGCAATTTTTAACATCTGGCATTGTGCTGTGATCTGTGTCCAATAATCCTAATCAGTATTTTGCTTTCATCTGAAATTAAGACTATTGCATGATAATTTGCAGACTCTGTTAAGTCTCCTTTCTTGGTATTGGTATGTAGATTTACCTCTTCCAATCTGTTTCATTCTTTAGGTTTGCTGGCATAGCTTAGTTAGAACCAGGGCTTTTTTTCTCATAGAACACCCAGAACGGAGTTCTGGCACCTTTTTTGGATAGAACCTTGTAGGGTAGGCAAGGCAGGTTGTATGACGTGTATGAGTTCCGGCACCTTTTTTTTTTTTTTTTTATAAAAAAAGCACTGGTTAGAACCTTTACTATTCTTAGTCATTTGCCATATTTTATTTAATTATGAAAAACAAGTGAAATACATAGTTTATTGTAACATGGATAGAAATTTTAAAAATTGAGCCAGTGTAGTGTACTAATTAAATGTTGGACTAGGGCTGGTGAGATCCAGGTTCATGTTTATCCTCAGCCATGAAAACTCCTTGAATAACCTTGGACCAGTCACCTCCTCTCAGCCAATCTACTTCACAGGGTTGTTATTGGAAAAAAAATAGGTGGAATGTTACATATGATCTCCCTTGAGTTCAGGGAGGAGGTATGATACATCAAATCTATCAAATAATGCCAAATTCTTCAACACTCAACCTTTTTTGTGTTCTACTGCAGTTGAAGAAGATAGCATATTTTATTTTATTTTATTTTATTTTTAAATGCAATGTGTCCTTCTTTGGAGAAATTTTACAGGAAGCTATTTTTGGCTCTCTACAATAGAGTTGTGTGTTCATTCTGAACTGGCCAAGCCTGTAATTCAAAACGACTATAGTGTGGTTCAAAGAACCATGTACTCACGCTTGCAGTATGGAACACAGCCTGCCTTCTTGTTAAAATTGGATTTGCAAAATGCCTTCTGTATTCCTTTACCAATTTTGAACTACACATCTTAATCTGCTTAAGGAGCCTCCTCTCTCCCCACATGAACCTCCTTGTGTGTTTTATCTTGTACATATATTTCCATGCTAAAATTGTTGTATTGAAAGAGATTGAGATTGCATGTACTCTCCAGCCACAAGAAATTCCCAGCTGTTGAAGCATCACAACCATAGTGACAAACTGTTGACACTCCTTTATAAATATCATTGAAGCAAACTTATGAGTTAAACATCCATACAAGGGAAGGGTAAGTGTTGTCTATTCATGTATTAAACAGTGATGTAGAAAAACTAGTCAGGCAGTGCTGGAAGCCAAATTTATTGGACTGTTGATGAATCCAATGCAACTGCAAAGGCAGTTATTAAACAGGTAGAGCTAAATAGCATTAACGTATGGGTAAGATGAAAGTGCTGGGATTAGAGATACCTTTGGAAAAAGCCCAATATATATAAAAACAATAGCATATAAACTAGTAGGGCATCATACTGCTGCTGTAACTTGGACAAGATGTTGGAACAGATGGTGTCTAAAAGCAAATGGAAAAGTATGACCCAATAGATATAGAATAAAATAGATTGAAAAGTCTTTGACAAAGGTCATTATCAGAAAACTCAGCTGTCATTACATAAAAAATACAGGAGATCTCAGGGATTGGCAACTGGTTAATAAACAAGTAGGAATAAATGAGCAATTAACACACTGATGAGTAATCTGCAGTACGGTTCTTTGTGGATAAATTTATTTACATTAAATTTACATGCTGCACATCTCACTGCCAAGCAGTACCTATACAGTTGAGTGGTGAGGTGGCCATTTTTGATCGTGGTGTCAATCTGAAGTGGTAAAATCAAAAAGAGATTGTGAAAGAGTTCAAACAGAATCTCTCCAAAG